CGGGTATGTTGCTGGGGGGCGCTCTGTGAATAGCGGTGTTGTGTTGTAACATTATTTTTGTGGTTTTGTTAGATGCTGCGATGGGGGGCAGGGACGCCTCTCCCTCCCTAGATGGTAGCCGAATGATGCTATGATGGCGGCCGCGTTCAATGGTCATTTGGGCTCGTAGAAACGGTGTCATGTCGACTGATGTAGAACATACCGACCGTGTACTCCGTAGATGGTTCGTATCGCACACCCTCGTGCGTGAGGCGTGCGGTTACTGTTCGGAGGGGAGGGGGCTAGGAGATTGGGGCCCTTTTTGTTGGTGTTTGTGTTGGCTGCGCCTGGTGTTACGACGCTTTGGCCTGGTGGGTGGTGCCGGTTGTTGCTGTTGCCCGTTTGCCATGTTGGTTTCGTCGAGTCGTCGTGTCAGGCTTGACCATGATGCGTACACTCGAGAGACGTGCTGCGTCGATCGAAGTTGTTCTCTGAACGGGGTATGTCGATGAAAACAATAATTTGATTCCAATACCCGCACAAGCTTGCACTGATGTGCTTGCGAACACTGTCCTCTTGTGTGTTCCGTTTGGTGTAACCTGGCGATGATGGTGCTTGAAGTTTAGCACACCTCCTGCAGATATACTAGCGCGTGAGGAGGATTTGACAGACAACAGATTGTCTTGGGTATTTGGTCCATGGGCTGTGCCCCGCCATTCATGAAATGGCCTTTTTTGAAACAGCTTACTCGTATCACGAAGGGATGCCGCATCTCCCCTCCTTTACTATCTTGGAGGGCGAGCACAAAGATGGAGCTGGTTAACCTTCTGCCATACTTATCACACACGACATGTTGTGGCGCCCAACAACGATTAGATGCTTCGTATTGGCGACCTCGGTCCGAAGCGTAAGGCGACAACGTGTACGTGCCGTTGACGTTGTGGACACATGCACCGGGTACGTTGCGTGTCGAGGCGCATCGTGCACCGGCAGAGTCGCACAGACTACTTGCCATCGCTAATCGAGTGTCTTGATACTGGGTGGTGAACTCCCGTGATGAGGTGATTGTTTTCAGTCTTCACTCGAGGACAATTTTGCAGGCTCCCTCCCTAACGTGTGCTCACGAGCCACACAATGAAAGTTGGAGCGGAGGATGTCGGTGGTGAGCTCTTGTTCTCAGCAGCCTCTCACACATACATAAATAGAGCGGGCCAGCAGTTTAAGACAAAATTCTGTTAAGAAAAATAGGTTCAAATTTTTGCGAAAATTAAGGAAAAAGGGCTAAGGAACAAGGCTCAGTCTCGGCCACAACATAGTAAGAAACGTCCAAATCAGAAACATGACGCCCAAGACATACGAAACAAAAGGTGTAGCTTGACGAGCGTATCCAGTAAGAAACGTCCCACTGCTGCTCCTTCCGTTCTCCCACCCCCCTACCTTGCTGAAGAACATTTGTTTTGTAGGGAGGAGACTCGGGGAGAGTGTTTTTTGGGGGGTTTCGCCACGCCGAGCTCTCGTTTCTGGTTAATTATGCGGCGCATGTATGTGCTGTGTTGTTGTATTCCTACAATCAATGTAGACTAGTCCAATATGAATGTAATATTCGACAAAGTACTAGAAATAAGAGAAGCAGGAGGATGTGCGACAGTCCAAAGAAACAAGAACTTCGTTTTATGGAAATTGACGACTTCGGCTGGTCCTTGAACCCAAAATAAGGGATCCAGGCTCGACCCGATCTTGACGTTTCTTGTCTACGGGCCCGTACTGTATGTTGTAGCGTGGCAGCTGGCTTGATGGAATTGCTCAATTTATTGGGCAGTGGCGCGAAACGACAACATTATTTTGCTCTCCGTACCGATAATGTGTTAACACAACGGCATCGTCCAAGCTGACTGCGTGCTGTCGTGTACAAGGAGTAAAAGGTATAACCGACGGGTGGTGCGAGCGTGCTAGCCAGAGAACTAAAATAACTGCTGGTGTTGCTGCACTGCTGCTGTGTACTGCGCTCATGTCAGACTGTTGCAAACCGCGGGCACACTGCTTAGAGCCAAAGGAATTCTGTGCGGCAGAGGTCACATACATACATGATCCTACCTCGGAAATCACGCCGAGAGATAGAGGGAGAGGGAGAAGAGGCGACGCAAAGGGAGAGCTCCCGGATCGGTGTTGGTCGAAAATCGTCCCCCAAAAGATGACGAAACAACTGACACGCAAATAAATCCGGATCGTATGACATATATATGTCATGACGTGACACACAGGATTATCCCGACGCCGAAATGATCGATTCGTTGATGGCCATCGCCAACGTCGATATCGCCAAGTTCTCCCCACCCCTCCCTACCGGGTGGACCCCGCAGCCACGCGACTTCATCGTTCACCTCGAGACGTTCGCGAAAGCGTTCTTCGCCGTGTTGGACCATGGTACACACGCCGCAGGCGAACCATCGACCGGCCGCAGGCAACAGTTGAAAGCCGAGATCAGCCGCATTGTGTCCAACGCCCGGGACAACCTCAGCCTTCATTCGGCGGAAATCATCGTCGCTAGGAGCTGTGGTAGGAAAAAAAATCAGAATCATCAACGATTTCTCCTTTGACCCCAAACTGCTGCGCGGACAGAAGGGAGGAGTCAACGTGGATACGGTAACAGAAGAAGTACCCGACTGTTTGTGCGGAGAGACTCTACCTGCTTTCCTTTCTGAAATAACGCGCTTGAGAGTCAAATGGCCCGACAAGAGGATACTAGTGTCCACAGCGGACGTGAACAACACTTACCGAAACGTGAGAGTTGCGCCAGACGATGCACAAAAATTCTGCTATGTGATAGGAGACGTACTAGTTGCCGACTTCAGACTGACGTTTGGATGGGCAGGTTCGCCCGGTTTTTGGGGAGTCATGGCGTCCGCTGCTGAACACTCACACCGCAACACCAACGTACACAACGTACAACTAGTAGACGAAGGGATCGAAATGATGTCACATGAAAAAATAGTCGAGCCGTGGGAAGACGGGCCACCCGCCCGAGTGCCCCGAGACGCCAACGTGGGACCGCGCTAGAGAACGATTGGCCACAGACCAGAGAATTCGCCAGTGTGCAAGTAGTCCTGAGTATGGCTGGAAAACTCTGGAACCTGACATATGTCATGAGGGCGGGGAAATACTTCGTATGGCACCTCTTACGCCTCACCGGCCTACACGACAAGGCCAACAGACAATCGAGAGAGAAGAGGCAGGAACGTCTCGGTTGGGAGTTCCACGGAGACCTAGACTTCTGGAGATGGGCGCTGGAAGTTAAACTGGCGGAGAAAGGAGAGCCACTTAGCGCGTTTTTCTTTAACCACGTCCAACGCACGCATTCCGTCACTACCTATCGGATGCTAGCTTCGACGCAGTCGGCGGACACTGTCCCGAACTAAAGGTATTCTGGCGGTATCGATTTAAACCCGCGTTTACCGAGGAGCTGAAAAGGAAAGCAGAAGCCAAAGAAACCAGCGCAATCACGATCAACACGCTAGAATTGCTCGGAATGATAACTACATGCTGGGTGGTCCAAATGGTCGTGGGAGAAAAGCCGACGCAACACGGACAATCGATCATGATGAGGGAAGACAACATGTCGGCGGTATCGTGGGTGAACAGATGCGGGGGCTCGAGAGACAGGCGAGCGGGACTGCTCATGAGACTGTTTGGTCGCATGGAGATTGAAAACGGATGGTGTCATGTGGCGAAACACATCCGGGACGCGAGAATACCCTCGCGGACGGGATATCTAGATGGAAGTCAGAGGACGTAGAATTCAATGTTGAAAGACTCACGCATGATGATAACTGGCGAATGCAAGACATCGGAGACACCGGAAGAGAGCTAATTGAAATGATACTGCAAGAGAAACTCCAGAACCAAAGAATGGATGGCCTCATATGGAGCCGCATGGCAAGCGTGTAAAGAGAAGAAGTAATAAGAGTAAGACGAGAATGATGAGCAAAATAACTAAAGAAGGGTAATGACCCTAACGTGTTCAAGTACAGGAAGCGAACACGGGACGAAGGGAACGAGCGATGAAGGCGAAAGGCTCCTCAGGATAATGGATCCCTGAACGCGAGCACGCTGAAAGGATACCACAGCAAGTGGGACACGTGGACAGATGAAAGAGCTAAAGCGAATCTGAGTCCATGGTTGTACGAGGAGGACGGTGTGGATAGCGCAGTGAGAGAGCTGACTGTGTTTATGGCGTCGAGGTGCTTAGTGTACAAGAACCAGAGCCAAACGGTGACGGGGTACCTCGCGGCTATCAAGTACTTCCATAAACTGTACGCAGGCTGGGAGCTGCCCACGTCGCACTTCAGAGTGGCAGCTGTTGGGAACGCAATAGACAGACTGCATGCGAGGGCAGAGACGAAACCGTTGGTAAGGCAACCGCTCACCGTGCCGATTATTATAGCGGGGAGAGAAAGAGCGCAGACGGATGTTTTCAGACTAGTGACGTGGATGGGGATCGCTCTCTCGTATTTCTTGCTGTGCCGAGCGTCTGAGCTGTGGGCCTACCACAACGGATTAGTACACGCCGATTTTTGTCTTACGAGGTGAAACCTCGTATTCTTCGAAGGATCGTGTCGGCTAGCGTGGGACGAAAGAAGGCGGGCAGACAGAGTAGAAGTGACTTTTCGCGCATCGAAAGCGGACCAAAAGAGGCGAGGCGCGGTAGTGACGAGAGAGAGAGTAACGCGGGACGAGGAAGTGGGACAGATGGCTGAGAAGATGGGAGCGCTCGAGATTTTGCTGAATCTGCTTGACGTGCACCCAGAGTTAGGAAGTACCGCGCCGCTCATGCAGTCGGTCAAGCAGGGACGGTGGGCTGTAGTGTCGAGGTCGGAAGCAACAACAGCGTTGAGAGACATGGCGAGAAGAGTAGGAGAAAACCAAACGCACTTCGCGCTACATTCAGGGAGGATAGGTGGTGCGACGCAACTAGCAAAGCAGGGGGCATCGGTTATTCAGATTCAGAGGGCGGGGAGGTGGAAGTCAGGAGCCTTTATGACGCACGTTAGGGCAGGAGGCGAAGGCGCTAATTATGTATCGCGCGCACTAGCGTCTAGTTGAAGGGGAGAAATAGCGTGGACAAGAGCGCCGAATATCGGGCCGCGCAATGGGATATGACCTG